TAGACACCTATTATACCTGCATATCTATTTTCCCGTAGGGAGGCCATGTTCTATTTACCATTTCCATAAGTGTACTTCAGTTTCCTCTGGCTGTTCCTCCAGTCTTGCCACTCATTAGGATCATGCCCCTACCTGACTTTAGATGGTGAAATCAGGCATAGGGACTCTATCATTTCAGAGCCCTGCTACAATGAGAATAGTTGTAAGGGTCTATCTACCATCAAGCCTAACCTACAGAGGAGAGCCACCGGTGAATTTCTCAGTGGTGCTGGTGCCCCTCTTGCTAGCACATTCCTTATTGCCTTGATAAATGATGGATCCTGGGCTTTTCTGTTTGACTTTTCCAGGCTTCTTTGGTGTATCCACTAAAGTAGGCTCACTTCTGAATCTTTACACCCTTTCTTCTACTATTGTCTCAGCAATGCTAGCATTTTATCCTCACTGAGTGTGGGTCATCACTTTTTCTGTACTTGAAGGAGTCATCTAATTGTGAGCTCGTACTACCTCATGTGGTCCTTGCCAGAGTGTTAAATCCTATATTGCAGAGTAGTGCTCCAAAATGGATAAACTGCTTGCTATCCCACCTTATAGTATAGCTCTCTTGATCAAGCAGTCTCAGAATTCAATTCCATGTGAACCCTTCCAGTTCCTGCCGATCCTTGCTGGGTGTCTTACAGCTTCTGGAGGTACAATCACTCTTCTCACTGATCAGGCCTCACATGTCCATGCTGTGCCTTGGCCCTTGTTATAGGCCTAGTGACCAGGAGGGGAGGGGAGAGCACATGTTGTCTTGATGGGGAGAGCTTTGCATGTCTGCAAGCAAAGGGATGGGGTGGGCGTGGGGACTACCAATAGGGAAATTGCACCAATTCTATGGGCTCAGCTGATTCAGGGAAATTTAAGGATTCAAGATTTTGGTAGCATCAATATAGACACCCCCAAACCATGTGTCAGGGTCTGATTCTGTCCCTGGCAGCATCCTGATTTTGACATAGCAAATGTGTCTCTATTTTTCCATTGGGAGTTTAATCCTTTTTAGAGCTCAATAATCACTAAATTCCACTGGTCCTTTTTGTTGTTGTCTTGTTTTGTTTCAGAGTCAGGGGCTTGCTGTGTTGCCCAGGTTGGAGTATGGTGGCATGATCATAGCCCACTGCAGCCTTGAATTCCTGGGCTCAAGCGATCCTCCTACCTTGGCCTTTCACTGGTCTTATTGCTACTACTTCCTCCATATTTCTCAAACATGAACATCACAGCAGATTATATGTTCCCTTTTACAGGTATACCATCCCAATTCACCACCTGGTGGAAATTTTAACAATAACAGGACTGCTGCCTTATGGGAGGGGGATATCTGTGCTCCATCCACTCTGTGATATGGTCCTCACTGCCAACTGGGTAGTAAGTGATCCAGCTCCCAAGTATCATCCTAATGCTCTGGTCTCTTCCTATTGTATAAATCTTTCATCTTTTACCAAATATCATCTTAGTCCCAACTTTCTTGGATCACTCCCAATTTGAAGGGTTGCAGTTTGAGTTCCCCAGGAGGCAGATTCCAAGAAAGAGCTTTGTACGCAAGATGCTTATTAAGAGGTATTCTTAGATTAGGATCTGTGTAATGAAGTAGATGTGGGCAGAGGGGAACACTGAGCTACAATGCAGGCTCAACAGCAGAGAGCCAACCCCACAGAGAGATCTGGAGTTAGAATGACCCTTCTCAATTGTCCCAAACTGGGGTGAGACAGTCAGGTTTTTATACCCCCCTTTGGTCAGTTACTGTAGGCTGCCACAGAAAAGTTTGTGTCCTTGGGTAAGGCAGAGATTACCTGAAGCAATCCCTGAAGGGCTAACAGCTGAAGGCAGTCTGTCAACATTTCTCCCAGCAGCTCAGTCAACAAGTCTTTTATTGAAATGGGAAGTGGGCTGACACATCACAGCATTCATCACAGGCACCACCTCTTTACATTAAAAATTGCCAATTAAAAGTAAAGAGCTAAGAATTTATCATGCCCTTCCTATACAAATTGTATTTCAGATTAACCAAATAGTCATGGTTGATGAGGGTAAAAATTCTATACAGAATGATTCAGTTAATAAATTAGAAGAAATTATGAGATTAGACTATCATAATTTTGCAATCCTAATAAAATATTTTTTCAGACAGTGAAACCATAAAGTAAAGGTTGGTGGGGAAAATTTACAGTGGAAGCTTCAGGCTGCCTCCACCTGAAGTCACTGATGAATCTGAACATGTCTAAGTGTTGCACAGTATGTATTCTCTGATGTGATGCAATGGGAACTATACAGGACCATCTATGAGCATTCCTACTTAGAAAACATGGTACTAGACTCTAAGTCTCTAGAGATAATTTATGGTTTATATCTAAGTTACACTTTTTCCTATAAGAAGAGGAGCAAGTGAAGTAACATGAAGAAGCAAACAGAAAAATGAAAATGTAGGGCATTCAACAGTCCAACTGTCTTTGTTTCTTCAGCAACTCAAGGGGTTGGGCATGATGACTCACAAGGGGTTGGGCACAAGTGCAGCACTTTGGGAGGCCGAGGTGGGAGAATCACTTGAGTCCAGGAGTCTGAGAGCAGCCTGGGCAACATGGGGAGATCCCATCTTAAAAAAAATTCAATAGCATGAATCAAAAAAGGAGAGGGGAGACTTTTAGATTAAAATGGATTTAAGACACATAACCACATGCAATGCATGCACTTGGAGTCTAGATTTAAACAAACCAACTGTAAGCAGACATTTTTGAGACAATTGGGGGAAATCAGAATATGGACTGGGCCAAGCAAAGTGGCTCTCACCTGTAATCCCAGCACTTTGTGAGGCCAAATCAGGTGGATTGCATGAGGCCAGGAGCTTGAGACCAGCCTAGGCAAAATTGCAAAACCCTGTCTTTACAAAATATAAAAAGTAAAAAATTACCTCAGTGTGATGGCGAATGCCTGTAGTCCCAGCTACTCAGGAGGCTGAGTTGGGAGGATTGCTTGAGCCCAGGAGATCAAGTCTGCAGTGAGCCAAGATGGTACCACTGCACTACAGTCTGGGTGACAGAGCGAGACCCTATCTCAAAAAAAAAAAAAAAAAAAAAGCTGGGTATTATTAGATGATAAAGAATTATTATAAATTTTGTATGGTATAAAAGTAGCATGATGGTTATGTTTGTTAGAAAATGTCCATGTTTTTAAAGAACCCTGAAGTATATAGAATAAAATGGCATGATGTTTGAGATTTGCTCTAAAATTTTTACAAAAATGAAAAAAAAAAAGAAGAAGAAAAAGAAGAAAAGGACACAGAAAACAAGTCCCTTAGTCAGATCTGGCTGCCGTTAACAAAGTACCAAAGACTAGATGGCGTATTAACAGCAGATGATCAGGTTCTTGTAGGGTCTCTCTTCTGAGTTGCAGAATTCAGATTTTTTCTTATGTCCTTGTGGAAGAAAGAGGGTGAGAGAGCTCTCTGGGGTCCTTTTTATGAGGCGCTAATCCCATCACGAAGGTTCCGCCCTCATGACCTAATTACTTGGCGAAGGCCTCAGTTCCTAATCTTAATACCTAATACCATCACATTGGGGGTTAGGATTTCAACATATGTATTTTGGGGGCCACAAATATTCCGTCCATTGCAGCAGGTGTGGCAGTCTTGATAATCACGGCATCTGAGTAATAAGTACATGGAATTGATTACATTGTTTCCTGTATTTTGTGTATTTTTAAAATTGAAGAAAAGATAACTAAAAGACAAATGTAAAGCACCCAATGGGGGTAAAAATGATGCTCAAAGGACATAGACATTTATAGAAGAGGAGAGCCGAATGTATACTAAACATTTGAAAGGATATAAAACCTCACTGGTAGTCAGGAAAATGCAAATTAAAACAATAAGGAGATACTAGTTTTATTCAAAAGGCTGTCACAAAGTTAAAAGATTGGGACCATCTAGTGCTATGAACATGGCAAAAGAGCTGATTGTTGCTGAGAAGGCAAATATCTTACAGTATTTATTAAGATTAAACCATGCACATGCTATTAGATCCAGCAGTCTCATCTTTTGGAATTCATTCTATAGAGATAACAGTACCAGAAGTTAATGACCTGTATATGAGTCTGTGAAGGAGCATTTTTCGTATTGTCAAAATTTAAAAAGGAGGACAACCTAAATTACCATAAAGGAATGGTAAAATAGATTATGGTTTATTCGTGCCAGATGTTACATATATTTTTTTAAATATATTTTTTCTATAATCAGTGTATATTTATAGTATATTAGAAAATACAGAAAAGAAAAAAGGGAAAATTGTCTAGTTCCAAACCCAGACATATCATCTTGGTGTATATCGAGTGGTTTTCTGTGTGTGTGCAGATGTATGCATGTATATGTACATATGCCCACATATATACTTGTTTTTCCAATAAAAAAGGTGTCATGCGTTGCACAATATGTTGTAACTTCTTGGTTTTTTTTTATTCCTTCATGAATACTTTTCTACATCAACGCCTACTACTCTACAAACATGGTCTTTAAGAACTGCATGGTATTTCATTTTATGCATACTTCATAATTTGACCAATCCCCTACTTGGCAGTATTTAAGTGAATCCAGTTTCTCCTTTTAGAAACATCGTCCTTGCATGCTAGCAAGACTTTGGAGATAGTTTGCGAATTGCCTTCCAGAGAGTTCTGGGTGCTTTTGGAGGCATTTGAGGCAGAGTAGACAGAATGTTTTCCCATCAGGCGAGCTTGCTATCTTCCCAGATAGCAACACTGTAGTCTTTAGAACTTGAAAGACGTGTCTTATCTTGCCTGTTAGTCATGCAGCCTAAGCGGGACTAGGTTCCAGAAATCCCATACATACTCTCCCTCCTCTTGCTCCATTCTCGCTCCTCCCCACGTGCCCCCCCAATCCCGTAACCGCCCACCCCCCGAGCTTTCCCGCTCGGCTGCCTGGCCTATGGCAAACGCCAAGAATTCATTAGGGGCGGGGATCAAGGAGCGGCTGTCAGGAGGTCGCCATATTTCTGTACGGTCCTGAAGCAGCCCGGGCAGTCGCCGGGTCGGGAGAGGTGCTGACAGGGCGGAGCCGCCGCCTGGCTCAGCGGGCCTCACCCCTCCCGCCCGGGACAGGTGGCTGGAGCGCGCCCGCCTCCGCCAGCTGCGAGTGGGAGCGAGGGAGGGCCGGTCCGAGACGGTCGCCGCCAGCTGCTAGTGCGAGTGAGCGAGGGCTAGTCCTGGACCACCGGGCCAGGGGTCCGGCGGCAGCAGACAAGTACCGTGGCGGCCAAAAAAATGTTCCTCTGCCGAGGGGCCCCCGCCGGCCCTGGCGCACCGGGCTGCGGAGTGGCCCGGCCCGGCGGCGGCCCGCAGGCCTTCGGGATCCGCCTGAGCACGGTAGGTCGGGGGCCCGAGGGGGCGGACGCGCGCGCGGGCCCCTGGGCTGCGGGGGGCGCGCGGGGAGGGCACGGCGGGCCGAGACCTCACATGGGACGGGACCTTCTCTCGCCCCCAGATGAGCCCCCGCTACCTCCAGAGCAACTCCTGCAGCCACACGCGACCCTTCAGTGCCATCGCGGAGCTGCTAGGTGAGTGGCTAGGGCGGGCCTGGCCATGTTCGCCCGAGGCAGTGGTGCCAGCGTGGTGCCGCGGACGCGAGAGGAATGCGTAGAGCCGCGCGGGGCGGGCAGGGACTGGGGTGGGGGCCTCGGAACCGGCCTGGGCTCCACAGGCGGAGGAGGGGGATGGCTCTCTCGCCAGGGACGAGGTTCCACTCATAAAACGGAGGAAACGAGGTGTGTCCGAAGCGTTAAAAAACGTGGTTTTTCTCTCTGGCTCGTGATGTATTGGGCACTTTAGGATAGCTTAGTTAGTAATCAAAAGGAGATGCATAAAAATCTCGGGCCCCGAGGCAACTGGGCTCTGCAGGGGCTGGCGACGGACGGAGGATTCCCAGCTAGCAAAGGGGCGTTGTAGAGGACCGAGGCGGGTCCTGGGGAAAGGTCTGGAAAGCGGAATTCCTTAACTTTTGAGACAAGAAAGTTAGGAATGATGGGACATCTCTTAAGAGATGACACGAGTGCATTTGGCTCCCTGCTACTGCGGAGGGCTGGGTCCGTGGTCCACGAGCGCCCTCACACCGCTGGAATGAATATCGAGGACTTAACCTCTAGCTCCACCGGTGTTTGCTTTTAAAGCGTTTTCAGTTGATCCCTTCAAGCCAAGTACACCACTTTTTGCGGATGTGTGCTACTGTGTGGAAAGCAAAGAAGAAAGGCACAAAACTCAGCAGCATACAGAGCGCATTATACATGCTTTGAAAATCAAAAAAGGAAGAAGTATTTATGGGCGAGGTCGCACAGAACACTCTTGACAATGTTTTCAAAGCTCCCCAAATGAACCCCAGCCTCTACTTAAGCAATTGCTGTGGCCAAGCCATGAGAGTTATCTTGGGTAAGAAGTCAGTGGGTAGCAGGAAATAGAAGACTTATTTAGAAGGGTGATAAGAATAACTTCGATGATTAGTTAAACCAGCACACGGAATGGTTTATAGTATGTATAATTTAATTAGAAGGTGAAAGGCAAAAAGTGGAATTGATACGTTTGGAACCCTGGGGCAGAGGGACTCTATCTTTGAGGTTTGGTACTGTGCCTTGGGGCTGTGCACCGAACCTCTGCAGAATGGAATACAATCTAAATTGAGTATGTAATTTACAAGAAAGACTTAAAAGGGAGCAAAAAGTTAAGGATTTACATAGTGGGGGATGGGAAACAGAAATGTCTTGTTATCTCGTGGTTGGCACGGTGCAGAACGTGATACACCTGTGCTGTGCTGTGTTTGTTGTACCTTCCAGGTGATTTAATGAGCTTTCAATTTGTAATTTTGAATGTGTGATTTTGGCCGTATTACCTTAAGGAACCTAGGTGGGATCTAAGACATCCAGTTTGAGTTCAAGTATGTGTATGTATTATGCATACACGTATACAAACACAGATTTTAAGACCATGTCACTACTATTTGTAAAAATAATAGGGAAAAGAGAGAGCGAAGTGTTAACTGGCAATCCAAAGCTTTCATTTTAGATTTTTCTTCAATCATTTTCTCCACTTAGACATTAATTTTCTAGTGAATAATTCATTTGGTAAATATTTATTGAGCACCCACTGTGTGCAAAGCCACTCTGGTAGGCACAAAAATGAATACAACACAAATTCACTCTTCTAGTAGGGGAGATAAAACATGTACAGAAGGTTTATGCTTTGTATAACAACAAAATAGAAAGTGATACATAAGCAAAGATAAAAACAAGTGCTGTGGGAGTTCAGAGGAAGGAGGAATGGCTTCCAGTTTATCAGGAAGAGGAAGGTTAGGAAAAGCTTTGTGGGGGAGGTGACATTTGAGCTGAGATTTGAAGGATTGGGACATGTGGATATGGGGGGGAGGCATTCCAGGCAAAAGGAACAACTGCTTGAACAAAGGCATGAAGGATATTGAGTGGAGTTTAATTAGAGAATGGGGTTTGCAAATAGTAAAAAATGATAAGTACTTAAAAAGTTTACAAACAGCTTTCACAAATAACTTTTTAACATTACCCTTTGAAGTAAACAGTATTTATTTTTATCCTGCAGATGAAGAAAAAGAGGTTCAGAAAATTTAATTGACTTTTTCAAGGTTACATGTATACTAAGAAGCAGATCCATGACTCAAACACAGGCCTTTTTACTCCAGTTACTAAGTAGTGATGAAAAAGGTCATCTGGGATCAGAATGTGACTGGAAGGCTCCAATATTTGGCTTTTTAACCTGAAGTTTTCTGAGCAGGGGAATGTCGTGATCACAGCTGTGCTTCAGGAGAGTTAATCTTGCAGAAGTGTATAAAACTGAAAGAGAGAGAGATACGGATTTGAGAAAGAGATACAGATTTATATTACTACTTAGGAGGTTATTTCAATAATCCAGATGAGAGGAAATAAACTTGGTAAGAGAACTGACAGTGGAAATAGAGTAATTAGGATATGTGAGAGTCTAGTGATATATACGGTAAAGGAGATGGAGGGGTAAGAAAATGACTTAAATTGCAAACTTGTGGTCTCTTCAATGCTTACCTTGTGTGTGTGTTTATAACAAAGGAAGGATAGGCTTCTTACAAAAGGTAATGAGCTTACTTTAGGCAAGAATACTTTTAGATACGTGCAGGATTTCTGTAGGACACTAGCTCCACCCTTGGCAGTCTTGTGTAACCACCTGAAGGCCATCCTCCTGGAACAGGAGAGATGGGAGCCCTGTGATGCTATGAAACAGAAAAGGATAAGAGGCTTGAGAAGCACTACCTGGAAGCTGTCTACCACTTGCCATCCTGTCTCCTGAGAAGCTGTCATGGAATAGTTTCTTATTGCCTCCCTGATTCTGATGAGATACGAGAGGAAGGGGAAGATAGAGATGGGGTCCTCCCACAAAGGGATAGCATGAGCCAGGTTAGGAGAGAGAAATCTCCTTGTGGTCTGGTAGCACATGGGATTGTGTGGCCAGGTTAGGGAATGAAGACGCTCCAGGATCAGATAGTACATTTCTCACCTAAGTGGTGGACAGGGGGAGAGGAGTAAGGATTCTCTCATTGCGCTACCTGTTTATAGGCCGGATGGGCCCAGTTAGGGGAGAAGATAGGTATTCTGGGATCCAGTAGCATATGCCATATATTGGTAAATTGTTGGAGGTTTAAGCAGCAACAAGTAGTATTGAAACCACCCTCCAGATCAGTGCCTTGTTATCATATGTTCATTTATTGAGGCCAGTCTTGTTATTATTGTAATTTCATTTGCTGAGACCGAGTGAAAGGCCACGTAAAACTGAAAGTAAGTACAAAACCGTGCTTGCTGGTGCTGCTGTACTGATCTCTTTCCCTACTGCTCCAGCTGACACTAGCCTCTTGCATGCCCCCCCCCTTGTATTCTGTGAGCTTCCAGCCAAGGAGATAAAATGTCGGGCTGCTCCTGGCAGCTACCTTGTAACTCCTGAAATGCCTGTGTTAAAACTATTTGGTGTGTTCCTGTAAAAAAAAAAAAAGTTGGGGCAAAACTTACAGTGAAGAGGAAAAGAATTGGGGTGATTTTGTGAGAGGTCTTCGAGCTGATTTGCTGAATGCACCATTGGATAAACATGTAGTTGCAATTGATACATGTTGTGTGTTTGAATGGTGAATGTTCACAAAGTGTTAGAAAAAAATCCCTCTATGTCCAAAGTTTTCAGTGTATAAATCATGTCCAGTTGATTGACAAGTTGTATCATCATTTGCAGTGCCTTTGGTTGTCTGCCAGCAGGAGTGTCTGATTATTATCAACACGATTCATGGCCTGCTTGCCAAGTAAAGATTCTTGAAGCAGTGTAGGCAGCTATATAATGCTGAATCCGTTAGTCAGTTAAAGAAAAATACTGCTGCCTTTTACAAAGTAAAGAACTCCGTTTCTGATAAAGCTGCCATTACATGACAGACTTATAAATCCTGCCAAAAGTTAGCCCACTTGTCTTACCACATTATATGGGCTCTAGGCCCTACCTGGTTCTTAAAGATTGACTGCAGCATCCATCAGCACAAGAATGGGTAAAGAAAATGTGGCATATAGACACAGTAGAATACTATTCAGTCATAAAAAGAAGGAAATACTGTCATTTGCAACAACATGGATAAACTTGAAGGACATTATGTTAAATACGCCAGGCACAAAAGGCAAACTATGTGGAATGTTCTCACCTCTATGTGGAAACTAAAAAAGTACTAAGTACCGGATCTAGGACTTAAACACGGGTCTTTTTACTGGAAATACCAACTAGGGATGAGGTTAAAAAGGTTATCTGGGATCAGGGTATGATTGGGAAGCACCAGTATTTGGCTTTTTAACCAGATGTTTTCTGAGCAGAGGAATGTCATGATTAGAGCTGTGCTTCAGGAAAGTTAATCTTGCAGAAGTGTATAAAATTGAAAGAGAGAGAGATATGGATTTATAAGACTAGTTTGGAGGGTATTGCAATAATCTTAGAAGCAGAGAATGGAATCGTAGTTACTAAAAACTGGGAAAGGTGGGAGGGAGAGATGGAGGTTGGTTAATGGATACAAAATTACAACTAAGATAGGAGAAATAGGTTCTAGTATTTTATAGCACTGTCGGCTATAATTAATAACAATTAGCTGTCTATTTTCAAATAGTTAGAAGAATAAATTTTGAATGTTCCCAAAAAAGAAATGATAAGTGTTTGAGGTCATAAATATGCTAATTATCCTGATTTGATCATTACACATTATATAAGTATATCAAAACATTCCATTGTATTCTATAAATATGTACAACTATTATATGAATAAAAATAAAAAGTGGCTGCTACTTACATAAAATAAACTTTCCCTTGGGGCCTTAAGATTAACTATACCAGACCTCTTAATCCCCTTCTGTGCTATTGGTGGTGCTGTACTGCTCTTAAGACAGACTTTTTTGGTTACGGTCAGTGACAATTTTATCAATGACTCTGGTAATACCATTATGGTCCTTGAAATTTATCTGTGTTTTGTTTTATTTGATGAACAGTCCACATTATCCAAGCGACTGTAACTGATATTGTTAATTGCGTTATAAAAATTGGTGTTTTGCATATGTGTAATACTTCTCTTGATTGTAAGGGGTGTTTCTGGTGAAGAAATGACATGATTTGATCAGTAGTAATGACATGATTTGATCAGTAGTAATGGAATGAGTATGTGGTCAGGACCTAACCTGGCTGTTTCAGCTTAGCTATGTGGTATCACTAAATCAGTACAGGATTCCAGGGAAAGGGAAGAGGGTGGAAGGGAAGGACTCTGTCTTGCTCAAAGAGCTTAGTAGACATTGGAACGATTAAGGAACCTATTCAACAGATTGTACAAACTGCCCCTCAATTGCAGCCAGCGAGCCACGTTTGTCAGTGATTGACAATTATGTAAACTGGTGCCTGTGGCAAAAAGATGTGGCAACTAGACAGTGGCACCCATTGGGGTTATGGACATGACACAGTTGTTCGACTATGGCAATACTTGATGTCTTTGGAGCCTTAAATAATTGTGAAGACATAATTCAGGAGGAATTGTGAACCTATGTGTTTTGTCTACTTTAATTACATGTTCTCCATTTCCTAAGGGCGTACAGCCTTACCTTTAAAATTGTTACAAAATACCTAAGCAAAAATCACTCCTTCTCTCTAAGTATGCTGGCTACCATCACTAAGATCTAGGCAGGCAATTAAGTCTTTTGATTTTAAACTCTAACTCTTTCAGTGCCTCTTAGGCTATAAACAGGAATGGCAGTACTGTCTGTGTTCTTTAATAGAGGAGGTGATGTAAGAACGAAGAAAATAAAATGATCACAAATAAACCGTAATGTGTGTAACATGCATCATCTTTTACCAAAATTGCTCCTTCAGCTTTTCTCCATAGTCACTCTTTACTGTATGTGTATATAAACAGTAAAGGGGCTAAAAGGCAAGAAATAATCAGACAAAAATGGAGCAAAATGCTTCGTCTATGGGAGTAGTTATTAATAATTTCTCCAAAGACCCTGAAGTTTGAAGGTGGAAAGGCATATTGCAGATTAGTCATGTGAAATCTGGAAATCAGCTTTAGAACTAAATCTGCCATTATCTCTGTTGTTCTCTATAATTTAGTAAGTACACTACCATTAATGCTCCCTGATACCTTTCGGGACATCCAAATGAGGGAAACAAAGTGTATTTTCTATGTCTTGGAGTCACTGAACTAGAGATTTCAATAGAACATTGGAAAAGGGGATCTAATATCACAGATTTCTACCTTTTGCAGATAATGCTGTAGATCCAGATGTATCCGCCAGGACGGTCTTTATAGATGTTGAGGAGGTCAAGAATAAATCTTGTTTGACATTTACCGATGATGGATGTGGGATGACACCTCATAAACTACACCGAATGCTCAGGTAAAAATGTCTTCATAGTCTTTTTCTTGTCTTAAGTTCATGAACCCTATTTAAGGCTTCATAATTTTCATTAATATTTTGCTTTGCTTTTGTTAATTCAACAAATATTTATTAAGCATCTCTTATGTGCCAGGGCACTGATTAGGAAACAAATAGTGTTACTGTCCTCACAGGGCTTTCAGCCTAGCTGGCAATTCAGACAATTAAATACGTAATCAATAAAAAGCTATAAGCATAATGATAAGAAGGTACAGAATGCTTGAGACAAATCATCGGAGGAACCCAATCTGATCCTAGAGGTTAGGAAAAGTCTCCTGGAAGAAATGATATTTAAGCTGAGATTCAAGGGTGAGTACAGTTTAACCGAGTAAAGGGGCAGGGAGCAAGGGATGGCAGTTTAAGCAAAGAGAACAGCAATGTAAAGACCCAGAGGTCTTCACTTGTCTGAGACAATCTCCAATTTATATTAACCTAAACTCACTCTTAAACCAGAATTGGAGTTGTGATGATTTATGGATTAGAACCATGAAGATGGCTGGTTATAATCAAACTCTGTGCAAGATAAATGGAAGACATTTAGACACATACTCTTTAAAGGTCTTGCAATAGAATCGCAAACTTAGGAAATTCTCTTTTCTAACTGTTGAAGCTGGTGCTAGATTTCTGTTGCCACCCTCAGTTCACTTAATCACTTTTAAAAATTTGTAGTTGAGAACATAAGTTTGTACTATATCATCTTCACATATCACTCAGTGGAAGATGAGTGTTCCTTCAACTCCTTCCTTCTCTCTTCCTTTTTAGCAGATGAGGTTGATTACTCTCCCTGTGGCTTCCTGAACTAGAGTGTGCAAAGCACAAGTAACAATAGAGGAGTGCTGTGGAGGAAGGAAAGAGCTCTGAACTATAAAAATGGAAAACAAATTCATGTGATTGTAGTTACTCTTGTCGGTGTTCTAAATCAATTACTCTGTTTGTAGGGAAATCCCTTTGATCCATCAAAGAAATCAAAATGAAATTTGGACGAAGTACATGGTTGCATTTTACCACTCAACAGTCTGTGTACCTTGTGTCTCAGATCCTCCAAATTAGAAGACTATCTGAGGAAAACTTTTAAAAGTGAAACAAGAATTGTAACCAGTATGTTAGTGAAAGTAGAGAGTTGGCCCAGTCCTTCAGCTTATGATATCAGTTTATATTCTGAAATTAATATTATATATTAAGAAATATAAAATTTTAGATGGGACAGAACCAAAGCATTTATATGTTCAATTCTATGTATACTAGTTGGTTGTTTTTCCTCTAAAAATTACTTATCTTCTTTTTTTTTTTTTTTTTTTTGAGACAGCCTCACTCCATCACCCAGGCTGGAGTATAGTGGTATGATCTTGGCTCACTGCATCCTTGGCCTCCTGTGTTCAAGTGATCCTCATGCCTCAGCCTCTTGAGTAGCTGGGCTTACAGGCATGTATCACCACACCTGGCTAATTTTTTTTTGTATTTTTAGTAGAGATGGGGTTTTGCCACATTGTTCAGGCTAGTCTCAAACTCCTGACCTCAAGTGATCCACCCACCTCAGCCTCCCAAAGCGCTGGGATCACAGGCATGAGCAACTGCACCCGTCCAAAATTGCTTATTTTCTTAATGACTCCTTCCCATCATACCTCATCCCATTGACATGGTTGTTGAATAGTGGGCCCAGCAAATCTGATCTTCCATTTTATTTTTGGAGCTACATCTGTGAAAGTTGGTTATAGTTATAAGGTAGAAGGGAGGAGGAGAATGGTTTCAAAATAATTGGACAATTTTTGTTGCAGATTCATTCATTTATTCATTCAACAAATTCTTATTGAGCACCTGTGAGCAAGGCACTGGAGATAAAGTGGTGAACCAGATAGACATGATTCTTGGCTGACAGCTTAGTGAGAAAGAACAAAATTGACTAGTAAAGTAACTGAATAGGCTGTTCCATCCAGTGATAAATGCTATGAAGGAAGAGCACAGTTTCTTTGAGAACAGATAACCTAACGGAGCTTTTTTTTTTTTTTTTTTTGACAGAGTCTGGCTCTGTCGCCCAGGCTGGAGTGCAGTGGTGCGACCTTGGCTCACTGCAACCTCCGCCTCCTTTCTAGCAATTCTCCTTCCTCAGTCTCCTGAATAGCTGGGATTACAGGCAGGCACCATCATGTCTGGCTAATTTTTGTATTTTTAATAGAGACAGGGTTTCACCATGTTGGCCAGGCTGGTTTTGATCTCCTGACTTGAATTGATCTACCTGCCTCGGCCTCCACCATGCCTGGCAAGGATACTGTTTATTTAAAAGAGATCATTTAAGGCCATGCATGGTGGCTCATGCCTGTAATTCTAGCACTTCCAAAGGCCGAGACAGGCATGGATCGCTTGAGTCCAGGAGTTCGAGACCTGCCTTGGCAACATAGGTCAGCTGCCCCCTTGCAAAAAATACAAAAATTAGGTGAACATTTTGGCATACACCTACAGTCCCTGCTACTCGGGAGGCTGAGGTGGGAGGATCCCTTGAACCCAGGAGGCGGAGGTTGCAGTGAGCTGAGATTGTGCCATTGCACTCCAGCCTGGGAAAAAGACAGAGACCATGTCTCAAAAATAAATAAATAAGTAAAAATAAAAGAGATGCTTTAGTCCAATCCTAACTTCTAGTGAAGGGTTCTACTTATTCTAATTTCTTTTTAAATAATCAAATTTTAGAAGTAGCTTTGAAAATTATTACGTATATGATATTTTCTGTTTTTCATTTGAAGGCATATTACTTTGGTATTTGGAAAGAAAAGAAGCAATTATGCAAAATTATTAACCCTAGTGAAGTTCTGTTTGACCTCTCACATTTGTTATTACCCTGTCCACACTTTCCAACTCTTTATGCAATTCTGTGTTCAGGCTGATAAAATAGTTGTGTAACTGTAGCAACAGTTTCTTCCATACACACAGAATTGCATGAAAATAAAATGAAAAAGGAAAAACCTATTATGAAATTCCTTTGGGCTGGATGCAGTGGCTCACGCCTGTAATACCAGCACTTTGGGAGGCCAAGGCAGGTGGATCACGAGGTGAGGAGGTCGAGACCATCCTGGCTAACATGATGAAACCCTATCTCTAATAAATATACAAAAAAATTTGCTGGGCATGGTGGTGTGCACCTGTAGTCCCAGCTACTCAGGAGGCTGAGGCAGGAGAATCACTTGAACCTAGGAGGTGGAGGCTGCAGTCAGCCGAGATCGCACCACTGTACTCCATCCGGGGCAACAGCCAGACTCTGTCTCAAAAAAAAAATTTCCTTTAAGTACCATAACTAATTATCTTTAGCTTCTGGAGATAGTGTGTGGGTCAGTTAGTCTCTATATTCAGCTGCCTTTTTTCAGCAAGGTGGAAAATGTCTTTCAAAGTTCAAAGACTATAAACAGCCACAGAACCACGAAAGATATTTGCTACCTGTGCTCAGAAGTGTGCTTCCTAGCAGGTATATTCTTCTGAAACAGTAGCTGGAGAATAACAGTCTGCTTAGCAGTCTCTGATTCTTTTATATTACATATTAAATCACCAATATAACTAGGAAATAGCAGTAGCTGCCCTTATGTGCCCATGGATTTTGCTAAGGTTTGTTTCATTGGTCATAGTACCTATTTATTTATTACTTTTCTTAACTTTTATGTTAGGTTTGGAGGTACACGTGAAGGTTTGTTATATAGGTAAACACGTATCATGGCAGAGTTCCAATTTGAATTTACCTGTCTGGATTCTGGATTCTTGACACTTTAATATACTGCAGAGCAAGCTGCTGTATTTTTGGATTCCACTAAAAGTGCTGGTATTCAAGCCACCTTGATGTGTAAACAGTGTTGTCTCTTACATGAGAGGATAGAGCAGGACTGAGTTAGCAAATAGAAACCACCTAAGCCAAGTTAGTTAGCTCTGTGGGAAATTATTACTGAGCTATAGCAAACTATCAAATTTCTTCCTACAATTCTATTATTAGGTGTGGTGAGGGCTTTTATATTAGGTAGTTATTTGATTGGCACCTGGCATTCATTTTGCCAATTTGCATTTAAATAGAATGCCTAACATGGAAACTTAGGTGGAATAAAAGAGCATACAGGAGGAGTTAAGTGACACATAGTAACAGCAAAAATCCAGAGTTTACAGCTCCTCTCTTCTCATTATTCTTATCCTTTTCCATTCTGGTTCTAGCCTTGCACTACTACTTATCTTCTCAATCTTGTATCAACATTTGGTCTCCCCAAATTAACACAGTGAGGGTTCATACTTACAAAGGGAAAAAGAGGTAATAAATGGTAGAAGACGCTAAAAAAGTTAAGGCAGTCATAAACCCCCTATTTTGACCACTTTGCCTTGATAACCTAATTGAAGATTTTATGGTATAAGAGAAAGTTAAAGTCCTGTTAACCAAACAAATTGATTTGAAGTGGTGGGTGACATTACTATTTATGAAGAGCCCTGAGTTTTAGGTGTGACCTTAGGTCTAAAGTACAAGTAGGGGATAGAACACGACAACTATCAGAATGACTTTTAGCGTTAGTTTAAAATTAGTATAGGAATACTACTTTTACTTAATATATTTTGGATACAGTATCTAATTTAATCCTCATAACAAACCTATTTTTTTAAAAAGCCAATTCTTCCACAAGAAGAATGGGAATGGCTGAATCTTGCTATTAAGTATATATCCTGGAATACTAAGGCCATAGGCAGTAGAAACTGAATGTTCTTTTTTTTTTCCAGAGGACTACTGCCATGAAAATTACCTTTTTCTGTCACCAGATTTATTTGTGGGATAAACATAGCTCCTATAAAGTATCTACTCTGGGGTGACTCTAGGATGACATATAGTATTATTGTATAATGCTTTGAAATAGAAAATTAAAGGGTGGTCCCCTTTCTTAGTGAGTAAACACAAAACCACACCCTTCAGGAAGTAGAAATCAGATATCTTAGCTCTCCATGCTCAAAAGAATAAAATTGTTAAAGATCAGGCTGCTTAGTCGTGGTCTGCTCAGAGTATCTATTTTATTGATGTTAAGAAGTACCTAATCTGTATTAGACTGCAAACTCTGAAGGCAAGAATCATGTCTCCTTTATTAAAAATTATGTCTTTAGTGCTTAGCCCAATGCATGGCACATAGTAGGTGCTTAGTTTAAATATTTATTGAATGAGTGGTACACAACATTGTAAAATTAGTCAGTCTGGAGAGAAACAATCCTTTTTAGTGTGATTTTTTTCTTTTACTGATACCTAATATTTTATATACTTATGGGGTACGTGTGAATACTTTATACAAGCATAGAATGTGTAATGATCAAGTGAGGGTGTTTGGGGTTTCCATCACTTTGAGAATATATCTATATGTTGGTAACATTGGAAGTCCTCTATTCTAGCTACTTTGAAATATATGATGTATTATTGCTAATTATAGTCACCCTGGTCTGCTATGGAACACCAGAACTTATTTCTTCTGTCTAACTGTAAGAAATAACTGTAAGTTAGACAGAAGAAATTCTCTTTATTTCTCCTTCTCATCCTGAGAAATAATCCTTAAAATTAGTTTTATCGATGGTGAGGGAAGATATTAAAGGAAGATAATCATTTTATTTTTAATTTTTAAGGTTCTATTATTTTGGTGTGTACCTGAATGGAAAATACCAGAAAGGGAAAGGTTCTGCTTTTAAATTAAGCTGATCAAAAGGGGCTACAGAGATTGTTGAGGTGCCTAAGTGAAAGGTCCTTAATAGAGCAAGAGAGACTTTATACTGCAGCTGTTTGCTGATATTCAGAGGCAGAACTACCTATTTTTATCCCTTGGCTACATTCCAGTGAACTGTCCCAGCAGGTGGAACAGAGGGTAAGAATTGGAAGGGTTATCTTTTGAGTGGAGAGTTGAAATTGTCAAGATATATGATCCCTGACTTTCAGATTTCTAGAGGATGATATGAACAGGTTAGGAGATGCCTAATCTAGTACCTCTGACCAATGACATTATCTGGAACTTTTGTTACCTTCTCTAGATAACTACCCTTTTCACCTTACCCTAACTTTACTTCTATAGCAATCAGAGCTATTTTATGTAGACAAGAAAGGCAGCTGCCCAAGGCCTTCTCCAGCTATGATAGCTGGTGAAAAGGGGCCCTTTTTACATTTATAAGTGTGACTCTAACGTAATGGAGTGATGTATGTACACACAAACCACACAGGAAAATTACCCCCATTACCCCATAGAAATTTCCTGTGTTTTTAACTTAATAATTTTGCCCATAAATACCAAAAGGAATAAAAAAGAAGGGACTTTTTACAAGTGTTTGTTATTTGTAGGCCAAACATTCTGCCCGTCACGTGTCTTAGGATGCTTTTTGCCTTTCTGATTTCTTTTTTCTGATGTGTTCTTTTCTTGTGTAATTACAGCTTTGGCTTTACAGATAAAGTAATAAAGAAGAGCCAGTGTCCCATTGGGGTCTTTGGTAATGGTTTCAAGTCAGGCTCCATGCGGCTAGGAAAGGACGCCCTTGTCTTCACCAAGAATGGGGGTACTCTCACTGTTGGACTTCTATCACAGACCTATCTGGAATGTGTCCAGGCCCAGGCAGTTATTGTACCAATTGTTCCTTTCAACCAGCAAAACAATATCCTTTCTGGAAATGGAGAATGGTGGTTAAAAATTAGTCTAATCTGAGTGTTTTGATAGGAACCTCTTCAGGTCAAATCTATCAGAAGTTTTTAAAGAGGTACTCAAATGTCTTAAATTTAACTGGGATTTTTCTCTATTAAATATTTTAAAAATATGTGGACCATTGACAGAAGCTTAGAAATGTTTTTGCTATATTGAAATTGTCATTGTTATGCAGTTTGATCTATATAGTATGTCTCTGCTCTGCCATCACCCCATGGTAAAGTTTCCAGGACCTTCCTTTTTTTTTTCCTAAGGATAGTTACATTTGCACTGATACTCCTAGAAACATACTATTTATCACCTTGTATAGTAGCACAATAGCTCATTTCCCTATATCTGCACTGCTGTTCTTCTGTTAGACACCTGGTTGTCTTGACTGGAACAGTATAGCAATAAGGTTTTAACATATTGCTTCCAAAGAAGTTTAAAAAAATCAGCCTTTGATCTTTTCTTTTAAATGTAAGACTTTGTTTACATTACATCTTTGAAGCTATATTCTGCAGGGGCAACTGATTTTGGAGCTTGTCTCTGCAAACTTTCTCAATTTTTCACCTTTCCTCCTTCTATAGCAGTAATATGCATGCTTTATTTCTATAGTTTTGTCTAAACATGCAATCCAAAGGGCAGATTTCCTTCTCAATAGCATCCTAAGATATTAAGTTTTCTTTGACTATATTTGGTTTTACAAAAAATGATAATTACTGAGGATTCATTGCCCAGCCTAGAAGCCATCTTGAACTATTCCATTTTCAACAGTGAAAATGACCTGCTGGCCCAGTTTGATGCCATCCCAGGCAAAAAAGGCACTCGTGTTCTCATTTGGAACATCCGCAGGTACAGTATTCCGAGGGTGATAGATTCTAATAAACAAAGGTGGTATAATGAAACACATTTTTATTTAATTTTAACTTGTTAAATTTTTATAAAAAGACAGGGTCTCATTATGTTACCCAGGCTGGTCTCAAACACCTGGCTTCAAGAGATATTCCCTCCTCAGCCTCCCAAATTATTGGGATTACAGGTGTGAGCCACTGTGCCTGGCCTAGCACATTTTAGCAACTCTTTATAGAGAAGCAAAGTAGATAAATTTTGATATACATTTCTATCCCATTGCATACTTATATGTAACTTTGTCTTAGAAAAACAGAGTTCTGTTTGAGATAGTGGTTCTTATTGGTAAAATGTGGCATGTTTAAGGTGGAAATACACATATCCTGAAGCTATTGCCACAGATAATTAAGACAGTTTAACATATTCTGAGTTCCTCAGAATCCTTTATAAATATCTATTTCATATTCATGGACATTTTTTTTGAGACAGTCTCTCTTGCTCAGGCTGGAGTGCAGTGGCACAAACTCGGCTCACTGTAACCTTCACTTCCAGGATTCAAGTGATTCTTGTGTCTTGGTTCAAGCTATTCTCATGCCTCAGCCTCTTGAGTAGCTGGGATTACAGATGTGCACCATGTCTGGCAAAGTTTTATATTTTTTGTCGAGATGGGGTTTTGCCATGTTGGCCAGGCTGGCCTTGTACTCCTGACCTCAAGTGATCCACTCACCTCAGCCTCCCAAAGTTCTAGGATTACTGGTGTGAGTCACCATGCCTGGCCAATAGGTAATTGATAGTTATTTTGCCTAATAGACAATGACAATGAAGTATGAGATCTTTAAAAAATAAGGACTTCTGTATTAGTGCTTTCAGTGGATTAGAAGTAGAAAATCTGGCCAGGCATGGTGGCTCACACCTGTAATTCCAGTACTTTGGGAGGCCAAGGCAGGAAGATCACTTGAGGCCAGGAGTTTGAGACCAGCCTGGGCAACAAGGTGAGACACTGTCTCCTAAAAAAAAAAGAGTAGTAGAAAAACCTTTGAAGCAGATGAATATGAACTATAATGAGACTAGGTTAAGATCATGTCTTCAAAATTAATAAAATAATCTAGAAATACTCTATGCTATTTCATTTGTTTAACCTTAGCATGTCTAATGGAATACATTTAAGAATGGATTAACACCTAAACACCAAAAAAAAAAAAAAACCTCCTAAAAACCTTTAATATAAAATAGAGGTATGACTGATATGTTTAATAGAAAAAATTATCAGATATATTTATTCATCCTTTTCTTCTTAGGCGAAGTATTTTTTCTCATTTTTTACCTGGGTATAACAAATAAAACTATGCTGGTTTATATAGAGAGTACTGTACTTAACAATTAAAAAGAAAAAAAAGTGTGACTCTCAAATTGGTAATTGTGTCCTACTGAGAAAAACCTCAAGTAATATAATTTGTATTACAAAGAATTTTTGAGGTATTTCCAGTGATTTACATATCTTAAACAGAACTTTTTCTTTGTGCATCATTTCCCAGTTATGTATATGGTACTAGGTGTTATACAGGTTGACTTTCCCTAATCCAAAAATCTAAAATCTGAAATCCTACAAAATCTAAAACATTTTGAGCACAGACGTGGCAACTCAAAGGAAATGATCATTGGAGCATTTCAGATTTTTTATTTTTATATTGCAATGCTCAACAACTAAGTATAATGCAAATACTTCAAAATCCAAAAGGATCCAAAATACTTCTGGTCCCAAGCATTTCAGTTAAGGGATATTCAACCTGTATAAATAAAGGATTACATGGTCAAATAAATTTGGGAAAAGCTGACTAAATGTTTACCGTTGTTGCTCTACTGTAGGACTTCTCAGAGTCCTAGAGTTCTTTAATATACTAATGTGCATTAAAAATATGTAAAAGAGCAATATAGTATACAGTATTTCCCAATCAATTTTTACAGAGTATTTCTTCAGGTTGGGTGGTGGCTCACACCTCTAATCCCAGCCCTTGGGAGGCTGAGATGGGAGAATTGCTTCAGCCCAGAAGTTGGAGGCCACAGTGAGCTATGATCATGCCACTGCACTTCAGCCTGGGCAATAGAGCAAGACTCCTGTCTCTCAAAAAATGTTTCTACAGACCTTTTTCCTTAGATGGGGAAGGTAAGGGACAAGGAGGACAGAGAATCTTCTCAGGTCATATGCATTGGGGTTGGGTGGGGTGGTGAGAATCAGGATTATTCTGGAAAATCCATAATATGTTACTGTACATTGACATGGGCATGATACAGACAACAGATCATAATGACTCTGGTGCAGCCCTGTAAAAGGAGCTACATTTTCAATACAGTAGCTCTGAGCTTACAGAGCCTGAAGTATGAAGCAGAGTTATCACTAGAGCTCGAGGTAACTCTGAAGGCTAAGAATTATTTCTCTATTTTATTTGGCCATACAACTCTTACGTATTTACTTCTTCTTAGGAGTATCTTGAGAGACTACTGTTGTACCAAACAAATTTTGGGAACTATTGTTTTGATATAAACGTTTTCTCTAAAACCTTTCATTTGAGTTTTTTTCCAGGAATAAAGATCAGTCTTAACCTTTTTTCCCTGGCAGTGGTTAGTGATATAGCCCAGGGTCTTGGAATGGATCACAACTAAGTGGCCCCAAAAGATTATGGGAAGAAGGAAGGTCTTTATGAAAGGAATATTATTACCATTATGTTTAAATGATAATTATATAAATGGTATCCTAGAGGACTAGTAAATATATGGTGTTTTTATAAGAGTCTTTTTTCCTTTTAAGAAATAGGATTAGATCTTAGTCTAGAAATAGGATAGATCTTAGTCTCTTATTAGTCTGAAGTTAGTAGAACTAGGTTTTGATTCATTCAGTTGGGGAAAATGATGTTGAGTGACTTACTAACAATACCCAGAAAGCTTCTGTCTATTTTAAGATCCCACTTTGAGGATAGCTGGCATCCATTTGATTTATCAGATCATAGACATTCCACATTCTTTTTATTTCCTTATGAATGTGGCATCATCACCTCTGTGAAAGAGTAGATTTGTTTAGAATGGGAATACCCTTAAGTATTATGTGATCCTCTACCAACTAGTTTGTAGTTCCTTTGTACTGGTAGTCAGGGAAAGAAACAGATACCTGAATTTTGGCTCATATTATTTCTTTTCTCTTGGGTTTCTAGTGCATTTTTTTTTGTCCTTTGGAGCCAGTTTTTGTTAGATTGGTACTTGTCTCGTTTCCCCAGAAATAAAGATGGAAAGTCTGAGTTGGACTTTGATACAGATCAATATGACATCCTGGTATCAGACTTTCACACAGAAGAAAAAGTGACTGGCGATGTTACCTCTGAGCTGCCAGAAACAGAATATTCTTTAAGGGTAAGTCAGAATGGTTTTTCAACAATGAGAGGTAAGATTTCCAATAACCTGAAAATATTTTAGAACAAGATCTTCTTTTAGTTATACAGAGATGACAACCTTCCAGCCTTCTGCTAGTATTCCTTTTTATTGTCTCCATTGAGACAGTTTAGATAATATAGTCAGCAGTAATTTAGTGTGGTAGTTTACATAGTGTAATAAGGTGTAGAAACTGAACCAAAGCTTTACCCAGCATAGATATCAGTTGGTAGCAGTGTTTTATGGGGATGTCAGCAGAATTCACAATATCACATAATAACTTTCCCTTCACCGTTCTGTTCCATAGGCGTTTTGTGGTATTCTATACATGAAGCCACGGATGAAAATTTTTCTGCGTCAAAAGAAGGTGACTACCCAGATGATTGCCAAGAGCCTGGCTAATGTAGAATATGATACATATAAACCTGCCTTCACAGTATCCTTACAACTACACAACTACCTGAAGTTGACCTTTTAATTTCAGGATTAAGTTTTCATATTGACAAAGAAAAACAAAAACTCTCCCTTTCCAATTCAAAAATATTTGTCACAGTACACATTCTATTACAGTTTGCTCTGAGGAAATCTTTCTTAAATGCCAATCTGTGTACCACTTTTATCAGAAATCACCTGGAAACTGTTGAAAATAGAGTCAGGACTTTGGAGATTCTGGTTCAGTAGAGTCTGAAACTTGTTTTTTTAAGAAATATTTATTTATTTAAAAATCCTCAGCTGATTCTAATGAGTAGCCAGGTTTGAGTATCTCTGCTGTAGGGAATAATCCACATCATTTGGTTTCTACTCAGATTTTGATATATATTAAATTGACTGAAATAAGCAAAATACTGACTAGAACTTTTTAATCTTTTAGATATACTGCAATTTTTTGTTGTAACGAGTCCAGACTTACATTGATTGAAGTTAGGAGGGTGGAAATTAAAGGTTGATTTTCTAGAGTGAAATAAATCTTCTTAGGTTTGACATAAATTCCTCGTTCTTCTCATAATAGTAGCCACTCAGAGGAGCCACTATTTGTTTTCACTTCTACCTCTCCTCTGCATTGCATCGAGAATGGATTTCAGAGACTAGAAAAATCTTGAGATGAACTGTGGATATTAGGTACAACTTTGTTGATGGCTTTCGGGGCAAAAAATTCTTTGAAAGGCTAAGAACTTGCAAGGTTATGAAAAATTGTTCTTTTAATCTATTTTCTACTAAGCACCACTCTTGGCCCAAGAAACATGTTCACACTCTATCTGCTTTGTCAAAGGCATTATCTAGCATGCCTTGTCTTTCCCTGACCCAAAATGAAAAGTCATTGTTCTCTTTTTTCTCCTTTTTGGGAACACATATCTTGGCTACTAGGAATGTTTTCTTAAAGTGCTAAACAAATCCAATTTAATAAAGCCACAACAAGCATTGTTTGCTTCTATAGGTGAATTAGTTATAATCTCACCATAGGTAGACTAGAATGTTAGTGCTATAGGTTTAACAGAACCAGCCTAAAGAAGTGCTTTCCAACTACTGTTTTAGGATATAACACATACTTGTCTCCAGCTTCTTTCTTTTGTGGATTTCTATTAGGGAAACTTCTATGCATGTGTTCCATATATTACCTCAACTCTTTTCAGCCTCCCTTGCCATCAATCAAATTACCTTCCAATATTATAGTTTGGACTAAACAGATTTACTGTAGGCATTAGTAAAATGAAAGACCTAATCTAATTTCCCCCAAGGTCACTGAGGAGCAAGATCATTGATACTAACTTAGTTACTTCTCAATTATCAAAGGCCATTTCTTTCATCTTTGTTCTCTCTTCTTACATTAATTTGGTGAGTTTCCTACCCCAGTATACCTTCACTCTATAATTTGGAATTTTAAAAGTACGCAACAGAAAGAAAAATTTGACAGTTTTTATCTTAACAAAGTTAATTTTATGGCATGGGATTTGGGTTTGTTTGCTTGCAGGAGTTTTGTCTTCTTTTGTTTTTATATTAGAATAGATCTTATTTGAGGTTTTATTTGAACTGCTAGAGCAAGAACATTATATATTCTGAGCCAAACATCACTGTGTTATGCACCCACTTGTGTCATGTCTTTGTGTCATACATGACCTATCTGTTACAGGGTTTGGACACAAGTAGCTTGTCATTTAGAGGGGGCATGGAGGTCATTTTTTGAATAAATAAGAAAAGTAAATTTTCATTCAACTCATTTGGACATAAAGGTTTCTTAGTATTTGTTTTAATGAAAATCTCAGTTTCTCTGTCTCTCCTTTATCTTTCTCACTTACCTTGGTTTTTAAATTAAGTAGGACTTGTTAAAAACTCGTTATTATTTATGTTTTACTTATAATAAATTATGTAGGACTTGTTGAAAACTCATTATTCATGTTTTACTTATAATAATTTGTTGTCTTAATATCTTCTAACCAAGCTTGTTAACTTCTTCCCATGAAATATATCATTACAAGACTATTCATTGTTGTTTAAAAATGATTTTGTTCTTGTTGCTTTGTTTTCATTGTGTTTGGTATTGTAAGAAGGATTTATCTTATTGGATGTAATTGTATAGATTTGTATTGGAGCATTTATAGCTCTTATCAGAACCTATGAGCCCTAGCAGAAAATTGAGCAACTAGCAAAGGCTGATAAATTTTTTGTGATTGTCAATTTTTAAATCACTGATGGTATTTTTGTATCTTTTCTTACAGTCTTTGTGTGTGTGTGTGTGTGTGTGTGTGTGTGTGTGTGAGAGAGAGAGAGAGAGAGAGAGAGAGAGAGAGAGAGAGGTTTTTATAACCTGAGCATTTCCAAATCTCAAATATTTCAAGGACATAATTTTAAAAGAGCTGCATATAGCTATATCAATGTTTATTTGATCAATTTTTTATTGTTGAGCATTTAAATTATTTATGTTTTCTGCTTTTATAACAAATTGAAAAATCTCTGTAATTCCTAAACCTGTGGGCCTCCCTGACTATTTCTGTGGGATAAATTCTTTAAAAGAGAATTACTTGGTCAAATATTAAGAATATTCTTAAAGCTATTGCAACAGAGTTTTAAAATGCCCTCTCGAAAGGTCGTACCAATTTATGGCCCTTGGTGTTTGATGGTTTTTGCTATAATATGGTGCAAGAGTTTGTCATGAAGCCCCTGGTATATTTGTCTCCTTAACAATGTTCTTCTCAGAATAAGCAGGTGAGAATCACTTTTGGGTTCTCTTGCAAGAATAGTAACCAGTTTGGAATAATGATGTATCATAACAACCGACTCATAAAATCCTTTGAGAAGGTGGGGTGCCAGGTGAAGGTGAGTGGTTAATATTTGTGTCATAGGAGGCTGAAAAGAGTAGGAAGAGAATTTAAAATTTGCAAAGGGGGTAGGCTCATTAATGACTTTTACTCCATCTTATGATGCTTACTGAATTCTGATCCTGGAATTTTGTTACCATTGAGCGGTCTCATGTTGAAAAACTCTTTCTACCTCTCATTCTTCGGATGTTAATCAACCCAACAACTTTACTGAATGAATTTTCTAAGTAGCTGTTAATAATAAGAGTTAGAATTAGAATACCAGCACGTTTACCATGGTGTCAGCTTATTTGTGTTTTAGGTAACTCTTTCCATTTTCTAGGGGAGACAATAAGGCATAGTGGAAGCACATAAAATATGGTGGTTGAAGACTAGGATTTGGGTCCTGAATTTTCCATTTACCTTGGATAAATTGTTTGATTTATCTGAGGCTCAATTTCCTGACCTGTAAAATGAAAACAACAATAATAAGCATACCTGCTTTGCCTACCTCTCAGCTTACAGGGTTGAGAGATTTAAATGGGATAAATCCTGTGAAAATATTTTTAAACCACTCTATACACATTTTACCATCATCTTCAATGTCTACAAGTATCACTTTTATTCCTATTTTACAGATAAGTTTGCTAAAGCACAAAGAATGATGAACTGCTTCATCATAGTAAGACAGTTATATAAAGCCCAGGATAGCTCATTTTCAGCCTATTTTGTTTTTCCTTGTTATAGCGTCTTTAGACAACTCACGTTTGTGTGCCAATCTAATTATGCCTTGACTCAGTTCCTTCCATTAAAGAATTAGAAAATGATATAAATCTAAAAAAACCCTTGTGTCAACTTGTAATTAATAATTGCTGTAAGTGTGACTCAGTAGTTGTTTGGTGACCTGTGTATGTGGAAAAATTGTTAATTTTAATATAGGATCACATAGCACCCTCCAAAATTGTTTTCAGATAATATTTATTTCAGTTCCTTAGAACAGTGGTATATAAACTTGTTTTTTTAGCACGGTAATTCTTTATTCAAATGCAGTCTTATGGCAGTCCTGGAATATAAAGCAGATACAAGTGGAGGGAGTGTGGTGAAGTAGAGATGGCTACTAATTCCAGAAGACTGCTAGGGATCTATGGATCATATTTTGAAAATCTCTGCCCTAGAATTGGTCAGAATTTCCAGTTCAGTTTAATGCTTGCAGTCTGTCGGTATATATTCAAAGTGTTTCTGTAGATCTCGATGGTCTTTTCTTGCCCATGAGCGTTATGTAATCTTTCTATTATTGTTTGGAATCAAAATGAAATGCCTCTAGGCAGCCAACAGTAATGTAAGTGTTGAAATTAATATTTTCTTCTAAGCCAACTCGTGGAGAAGGTGTAGGAGTAATTGGAGTCATTGAGTGCAATTTCCTAAAACCTGCCTACAACAAACAAGACTTTGAGTATACCAAGGAGTACCGGTGAGTCACTCCCAACCTGAGGTGCTTCCGTTAGTTTGTTCAGATATGTTTCTATTCTCCAAAGCCTCTAAAACCATCTCTAAAAACCAGCTAAATAAGTTAACTGAGAATTACTTCAAATTTGTTTTCCAAGATTAGAGATAAAATGATTTCATTTTAAAATTAAAGTTTGCTGAATGGCATATAGAGTCTCATTGAGATAAACCTTACCTTTAGAAATTATGTAAAGAGCATAGGAGTAATTTGGTAAAAGATTTCTGGTGAAATGAAAAGCTTTGGAATTGATCTTAATGGAAACAGATGAGTGGATCTGAAATTATGGAATACATTGGGGAAAAAAAAAGCAGTTTGAAATTTGTTCCAAACAATTTTCTTGAAGACAGTGAACAGATTTAGAGGAAAGTGATAGAACAGCAGGAAAGACATGTGCTTTCATTAAAGCAGCTAGATTTAATAGGGAAGGCAAACAGGTAAGCATCAGAAAGGAACCTGACATTATGGCTGAACCAGTAGGGATATTTTTAGAAGACAAAGGAGTTTTTAAAGCTAGGTTAGAATAGTTTATTTCTAAAATGTCAGGAGGGAGATGGGTCTTTATTTCATTAAGTATTATGAGACAGCATTTATGTGCCAGGTACTTAGGATGAAAAATAAGACTCTTTGACACCTATGAACAAGTATATATGCAAATAAGAAACTTAAATACTTATAAAATAATTGCTTTAATAAGGGGTATGTGCAAAGGGAGGAGAACTTTATGTTTAAGGGAGTCAAGGAAGGCTTTACAAGCAGATTATATTTGAGCTGAAATATGAAGGAAAAGTTAGAATTTTCTGGATGGACAATAGAGGAAGAACATTTTAAGCAGAGGGAAGTATCTGCAAGGGCACAAAAGGGTAAGGGGTATTCTGGGAATATGGAGAAAGAAGGCATGAGGATATTTGCTGTCATTTTCCTTGAAGTCTCAGTAGCAAATATTTTTCTTAGAGTGGGAGAAAAGAAATTTCCCAAATCTCTTTTGTTTTGTACCTAAACTGTAATAAAGTCAAGTCTTGTACCTTAATTTGCCTTGAGCCACAAGAATTTTAGGTTTAGTGTTTGACAGAGACAGCTATTAGAATGGCACCTCCAAATTAATTTCAGGGTAATTGGTTCATGGTCACTTGGGCTACTCAGTGTTTATGACAACTACCTGTCCTCAGTCTAAGTAAAATGGTCATTTCAGTATAAATCTGGCCCATAATGGAAAACTTTGACCCGGACTTGACTGACTCTTAAGAGTGAAAGCTTGGGAAAGACATCAGTTTGACAAAAGTCTCCAAGCCAAGTTATTATGTTTCACTTGAGTGAAAAGAATAGTGAATTGCTGATGACTACCTAAATAATTACGATTTGTGAAACTCAAATGTTTGATATTAAAAATTATTTAACATCTTTCTATATCATCTTTGCCACCAACCCCCTAAATCTACGTTTTAAATTTTACAGGTGTTAGACTTTTGGTTTTTGATGTCGAGTTCTGGTAGGTTATTGCTGTAGATTCAGAGAGAGATAGTCTATAGACAGTAGATTTATTCAGTTGAACACATAGGATTTCTGACTTACTTAACATAACATCTGCTGCATACTTTACTAAAAACAGAGCACTAGTATACTATTCTGCTTACAGTCTTTTTAGGATAACAAATTTGCATAACTCTTAGGCCAATTCTTCTTGTGCCAGTTCTCTTGTGCCAACTCTTGTACCATTGCCCTTTTTAATCCAATCTATTTTATGTAAAATGAAAATGTATTTAAATTAAAAACATAGTAATTTAAGAGAGGGATTAGAGAATATTGCTGTAGCAAACTCATCCTGTATTACAGATATCAAAACCTGCAAATGATAAGAGATATCAGCCATCATACTTCTGGAATGTCTACAAATAAATCATCTGTAATATCACTTTTAACAGTTATGGATGTGATTTCAGTTGCAGCTATCAGGGCTCAAACTTAGAACATTTTAAAGTGAATTTCAGTTTAAGAAATGTGGTCAATACATATTAATTGAACACCACTGGTATATAACACAGTGGCTGGGCATTGTGGAATTTTCCAGAGAAATTCAAGACATGGTTGCTATCTTTAAGGAGCTTACAGTCATTTGTATCAACAGATTGTAACATATACGAAGTAATTTAGAGAGCAATAAAATGGCTCTTTGATCAATCAAAACCTAAGTGGTATGTTATGGGGAAAATGCCCTGATAGAGTAGGTGGGGAAGATTTTGGATAGAAAGGGTGATTTGAGATGTGCCTTACATGATTAAGACATGGAAGAGACTAAAGGAATTCTAGGATGGAATTGTAACATGAGCTAAGATAGTGACAGGAACTCAGAATGGTAAGAATATGGGGAGTGGAGATGATGGGATATAACCAGAGTGAAGGCAAACCAAGTTAAATGGGTAGAGTTGGGCCATATTTTAGAGCAGCAGTTGGCAAACTTTTTCTGAAAAGGTCCAGAAAAGGTCACAACTACTTGATTTTGCTATAGTATGAAAGCAGCCATAGACACTAAGTAAAGGAATGAGCATGGTTGTGTCTAATATAATTTTGTTTACAAAAACGGGCAGTGGGCTGGATTTGGCTCGTTTGCTGACTCCTGTCCTAGAACCATCATTCGTAAACTACATGCTAAGCTACACATAATGAATTCATAGGAGAGCCATGAAATATTTTACATTTTTGAGGCAAATACAGTGATACTCAACTTCTGTCTATAAACCACAGAAATTGTCCTCTATTGCTGTCATAACAAATTACCACATAACTTAGTGGCTGAAAACAGTACTAATTTACTGTCTTAGTGGTCTATAGGTTAGATGTCATACACAGATCTCACTGGACTATAATCAAGCTATTGGCAGGGCTGCATTCCTTTCTGGAGGCTCTAGGAAAGAATCCCTTTTCCTGCCCTTTCCAGCTTATGGAGGCTGCCAGCATTCCTTGCCCATGGCCCTTTTCCTTCAGCTTCAAAGCTAGCAGTTATAAATTGAGTCCTCATATGGCATCACTCTGATGACTTTGCTTCTGTCATCACATCTTCTCTGATTCTAACTCTGCTGCCACACTCTTCTACTTTTAAGGTCCCTTGTGATTGCATTGGATAATTCAGGATATTCTTCCTGTCTTAAGGTCAACTGATGAGTATCCTTAATTCCCACTTGCTGTGTAAACATTATGTCTATCGCAGTCTACCCTTTGTCCCCTCAGATTCCACTTACATCTGATATGCAAAATATGTTCATCCCATCCCAACGTTTCCAAAATTCTCCACCCATCACAGCATCAATGCAGAGTCAAAAATTTCATGTAAATGTCATCAGCTCACAAGTCTCAAAGCTCATTATCTAAATTACATAAGGGCGACACTCTGAGTACGGTACATCTTGGGGTAAAATTCCTCTACATCTGTGGATATGTATTTTCTCTTTTGTATTTTGCTGTTAAAATACAGTGGTGAAACAAGCATAGGATACTAATTATATATATTCTTGTTCTAATGGGGGAGAAACTAAAAGGAAAAAAGGAGTCACAAGTCCTAGGCATTTTCAAAATCTAGCCAGGCACATTCCATTAAGTTTCAAGGCCTTCATCCTCTAGTCTTGAGGCTTTGCCCTCTGGGCTTATGGCTCTACCCTCAAAGCAGTCTTTCCTTTTTAATGAAGGGTAGCATGTGTTTGCAGCTGAGTAGTTTCATCAGTCTGTTTCCTGACTGTAGAACTTTAAGGGTCCAATGGACTTTTCTCCATTTCTTTCAATTCAAGCTAGTTTTTATGCTAGTGTGCCATTCTTAAGAACCTTATGGGTCTCATGGATATTCATGTCATCCAAGAAGAGGCTCTTGGCAGGTCTTTCCTAGGGAATCCTGAATCTATTCTTGGCTTCAGCTGAGATGGCTATGGAGATCTGTGAGCCACATGCTTTATCTTTTCAAAGAGTATTTTGTGTGACTGAATGCTCTGATCTTTTGATATTTCTGAGATATTAACAAAAGATTGTCCAGCCCCAGCCTCAGCTTTTTCTCTAGAGCATACTTTCCTGACAGTGAATCTCTAAATTTTAGCATCTTTTGCAATCTGGATGGGCTGAGAATTTCCCAAATCATTGAGTTCTGTTTCTTTTTGTTTAACAGTTTATTCTTCAGTTTGTCTCTTTCCTCTTGCATTTTACTTAAGCGGTAAGAAGACACCAGGCCACACCTTTAACACTTTTCTTGAAGATCTCCTCAGCTAAATTTCCAATTTCATCATTAACAAGTTCTGTTTTCCACATAACTGTAGGACAGTTCTGCTAAGCTTTCTGCCACTGTATAACAAGGATCACCTTCTCTCAAGTTTTCCAATAACAAGTTCATCAGTTCCTTCTGAGCCTTGACTAGCAATGCCTTTAACATCCATATTTCTATCAATAGTCTGTTTACAATGATTCAGGTATTCTTTAAGGCAATTTGTGTTTTCTCTACCATATTTTTCATTTCTTTCTGAACCCTCACCAGTGAAATTATTTAACACCCATATTTCTGCTAATGTTAGTTCAAGGTAATCTAGGTTTTTTCTGTCAAGCTTCTCAAAATTTTTGCAGCCTCTGCCAATTGCCAATTCCAAAGCCACTTCCGATAGCAGCACCCCACTTCCAGGTGCCATCTGCTACATTCTTTTTCATTACATCATATCTCTGTGAATCTGGATTTAATCTATTTACATTTAAAGTAATTACTGTTAAGGAAAGACTTACTTCTGTCATTTTGCTGTTTGTCTTCTGTGTCCCCTGTAGCTTTCTTTGCCCTTCATTTCATACATTGCTGTCTTTTGTGTTTGGGTGATTTTTTTTTTTTTTGTAGTGAAACATTTAAATTCCTTTCTCATTTCCTTTTGTGTATATTCTATAGCTATTTTCTTTGTGGTTTTCATGGGAATATATTTAACATCTTTAAGTTATGACACTCTAATTTGGATTTATACCACCTTAACTTCAATTCCTTACAAAAGTTCTGCTCCCTTAAAAGTTCTATCACCGTTCCTTTCAGTTGTTGATACCACAAAATTACATCTTTTTACATTGTGTTGTCCAAAACCATAAATAATTTGTAATGCATTAGCCTCTTAAATTATGTAGAAAATAAAATGTGAAGTTACAAACCAAAGTTACAATGATATTAGTTTTCAGAATCATAATTTTTTTTCTTTTTTTCTGACAGACTTTTGCTCTTGTTGCTCAGGCTAGAGTGTAATGGCTCCATCTTGGCTCACTACAACTTCCCCTTCCTGGTTCAAGTGAGATTCTCTTGCCTCAGCCTCCCATGTAGCTGGGGGATTACAGGCATGTTCTACCACAGCCAGCTAATTTTGTATTTTTAGTAGAGACAGGGTTTCACCATGTTGATCAGGCTACTCTCGAACTCCTGACCTCAGGTGTTCCACCTGCCTCGGCTTCCCAAAGTGGTGGCTCACGCCTGGTCAATTTTTTCTTGTAAATGTATTCTCTTACATTATGTAGAAAACAAAAAAATGGAGTTACAAACTGCAAGGATTCCTTGAATGTAATATATTGTTTCTCTCTTGCTGCTTTTAAGATTCTCTCTTTGTCTTTGGCCTTCACAGTTTGATTATAATGTGTTTGTGTCTGGGTCTCTTTGAGGTCATCCTACTTGGAATTGAACTTGGATGTTTATATTTGTGTCTTTTATCAAATTTGGGAAGTTTCTGGCAATTATTTATTCAAACATTCTTTCTGTTCCTTTCTCTTTTCTCTTTCTTGGACTCTGTTAATGCATATATGTTGGACCACTAATGGTGTCCTATGGGTCCCTTAGTTTTTGTTCACTTTTCTTCAATCTTTATTCTTTTTGCTCTTTATACTTGATAATTTTCATTTTTTTGTCTTCGAGTTCACAGATTCTTTTTTCTGTCTGATCTTTGATCTGACTTTGAATTCCTGCAGTGGATTTTTCATTTCAGCTTTTAGACTTTTCAGCACCAGACTTTCTTTTGGATTTTTATGTTTGTTATCTCTTTGTTGACTTTCTATTTTGCTTATGCATTATTTTCTTGGCTTTCTGCTCGTCTTTCTATAGGTTTTTGAGTATCTTTATGACCGTTCTAAAATCTTTGTGAAGTTGGTCTATAATCAGTTCTTTTTCAGGGGTGATTTCTATTTTTTTTCCTTTGAATGAAATGGACCACCCTGTCTTGTCTTTTTGTATGCCTTGTGACTTTTTGTTGCAAACTGGACAGTTGAATCTAATAATGTGATAACTCTGGAAATAAAATTCTCCTTTCCTTTATTGTTGTTGTTGTTGTAGGCTTTCTCTGTGCCAAAGATTAACCTGAGAAGTAAATTTAAGGTCTTTTCATTTCTTTTCTCAGCTTGCATTTTTTCTGGGCATTCACAGTGGCTTTCTAATTTTCCCCATAGGTCCTTGTCTTTATGTCTGGCTCACAAAAGGGGGAAAAGAGAGAAATAGAGGAGGAAAAGAAGATGTCAGGACTTTGAATCCTCTGGATGTCACTTCAACTGGAGAAGAGGGTTGAAACAATGGGGGAGGTTCAACAAAAATGGCCTCTTGCCTTTTTGTTTTCATTTCTGTGATCAGAAGCAGCAAGCAGTGATAAGAGGATAGATTCTCAATATTTAGAGGAAAGTGTCCTTTTTGCCCACACTGGCTCCTACAAGTTGCTCTTGGAACACATGCAGGGTTGCTTGCCACAGGGCTGAGAGTGGGGGATGGGTAGCTATTACTGAAGTGAGAACTGAAATTGACCAAAATTAACCATAGTTTACCATCCAAGCCTTACCCTGGAAGTTGCAAGCTTTCCATAGATTCCAGAGTTTCAAAATCGTTAAACCAGGCAGCTTCTGCTACTGCAGTTGTTGTATATGTAAGGAGACAGCTTCCACATGCTTCTTATTCTGCCATCTTCCCATAAGTCCATCTAATTTACTTCTCTTTAAAGTAGATTTTAAGTAGAATTTTAAGAGGAAATGAGGAATAGTTCTTCGACTGTGACTTGAGGGAAGGATATAAACATAGAGTAGGTTGAAGGGGAATAAGAGTTTGTAGGGGAACTCATCTATGATTACTTTAATCTTTTCTGTGTAGCGAGAATGTAATTTAATATGAATAAGGTGGAAATAAGGAAGAGTTTCTCTTAAGAAGAGAAGAGCTCTGCAAAATCCTTGGGGAGTGATCCAGGGGGTAAAGATATTTTTAAAATTCTGAATTCTAATTGTGCAGTTTTCCAGTTGTGTATAGCTCTACATTAAGTTGGAATCTTGGGTTGTGGAATTAAATAGGAATTAGTAATTCAAAAGTTGGAAGTTTTTAAAAGTAAAATTTAGGATTTGATTTTTACAAATTACATTTTTTTCTGACCCTGAGTCTACTGTTGTTCATTTGGGAAGAAAAATAAAAGAGAAAGAGCAAGAACTGGAACTCAGATACAGCCTCCAGTAATGTCTGTGTAGTAGAATGTTGAAGAGTGCTTGTTCATGGGCATCATAATGCTATGATCAGCATTTGGATGAAGAGGAACTATACAGACATACTAGAGTTAATGTTTGATTGATTTATAATATATAGGGTACGGAATTTGATCCTCTGACTTTTACCTTGTTCTAAATTATCTGCCTGTAGTCATACAACAATCAAATAACTCCCCATCAACTTATCAATATTTGGCTCTGTCCTGTCTCTGCAGTTTGGTTCTCTGTCTCTAATGTCAAGTTACCCACCCACTCACTGATTCAGCAAGCCCTGAAAATTTGTAGAACTCTACTTTTTAGCACTTGTGACCATTTCACCTTTACAACTAAAGTGACTGTTTAGCATTGTGACTTTGTTATTTTGACACGTAGCTTGCAAAGTCAGTGGATTCCCATCTTGGTTTCTTAAAGTGTAGATGTTCAAAAGTATGCCAAATACTCTAAATTATTGGCATCTGTTAAATGGGAACTTTTTGAAGATCAAAGAATTGTTCAACAAGTGCTGAACTTTGACATACTTCTTTCATTTTCTTTCAGGTTAACAATAAATGCCCTTGCCCAGAAGCTCAATGCTTACTGGAAGGAAAAATCATCTCAAGATAATTTTGAGACCTCAGCTGTAGTCAGGCCAGTACCGTAAGTAATAGATATAGAATATGAATGTATTAGGGGTAATATCCATAGATCAAATGGAAGTAACAAAGGTAAGATGGTGCTTTTCACATCAGGAAGTTTAATTGACTAAAAATAGGAACTCACAGGTACTAACTGCTTCATTCTCTAAACCGCTTCATTTTGGTTGAACACATTTACACTCTGGGTCATAAATGTGAAGGAAGAGTTTAGTATTGTCAATTTGAAATGGGTAATGTGATATAGTAGAAGAGGATGGCTATTTAAATCAAACATTCCTGGGTTGAAAATCCAGATGTGCTTTTTAATAGTTGGGTGAGCTTGGGTAAGTAAGTTACTTCACCTCTCTGAATATATTAAATTAGACGACATAACATTTTTAGCACAGTGACTGGTGTATAGTAGGTGTTCGACATGTTAGCAAACTTCCCTTTTCTTTACTCCTGATGAATATTGCTGGGACTGTACCAGTACTTCAGAGTTGAAATAGAGAACGCAGTATGTTAAGGAAAAGGTAGAATTTGTTGACTCTAAGACAGACAAGTCAGGTAAGGAGCATAATACAGGGGATGGAATGTGTAGCAACACATACACCATCAGTTACACCACCATCAAGACAAACATTAGAGTGGTAGAATGTTTTGGAGTAGGCACCTGTTTTTTTAATGGAAATTATTAGGCAAATGTATGATATAAAATTTTATTTCAAATGCAACCTAATGGCTATATGTATATCACCCTCTTCTTATTCTGAAGATCTTGGCTCATGGTCGTCCTCCATAGTTTTCAAAGTACAAACTAAGATGAGATGCCATTTTTTGCCTTTCAAATTAGCAGAGATTAATGCAGTGAAACAGACATTCACATACTGCTAGAGAGGGTATGTGCTGGAAGCAGAATTGTAATAATGTTAATTATTTATTGAATGCTTATATGTCAGGCACTATTCTAAGTTCTTTACATCCAGTGATTTACTTAATCATCACAACAACCCTGTCTGTTAGATATTATTATTACTTCTTTACAGTTGTAGAGACTGATACAGCAAGAACTTAAGTACCTTGCCTAAGGTTAGACAAGCAGCAAGTAATAGAGCTAAGGATAGAATATAGGTAATCAGATTTCCCAAACCTAAGTTCTTAACTGCTACTCTCTTCTGGAGGGATGTGATGAGGGGAATGTAGTACAGCCTTCTCAACTACCTATTTACTGAAAACATGAGCTAAAAGCCTCTTCTATCTGCCTGGATTGAAAGATCTATCATGATCTGCATGGAGCCCGAAACAGAGGGTTGCTTCCTCTAAGCATGCCTATCCCCGAGAGAGTAATACTGGCATTCTGCCAGAGACTCTCCTGTGCATATGCATGTAGACCCAAAGCTAATATGACCTTTCTTCTCCCCTCCCACTACTGCTGAAGCTGCTTTTTGCTGGCTCTGGGTCTAAAACAGTGGCTGTCTTGAAATATATAGACACCAGAGGTCAGGCCTGAGCTTAGAGCTTAGAGGTTGCAAGGCTAGAACAACCTGGAGCTAGGAGATAGGAAGCTGTAGGTCCAAAAATGTGTACAAACTTTCTTTGTTTAAACAGGGTTTTAAAAAAGAAGAGAGCAGGCTATGCGCAATGCCTTACGCCTGTAATCCCAGCACTTTGGGAGGCTGAGGTGGGCGGATCACAAGGTCAGGAGATCATGAACATTCTGGCCAACATGGTGAAACCCGGTCTCTACTAAAATACAATAAATTAGCTGGGTGTAGTGGTGCATGCCTGTAGTCCCAGCTCCTCAGGAGGCTGAGGCAGGGGAATTGCTTGAATCCAGGAGGCAGAGGTTGCAGCAAGCAGAGATTGGACCACTGCACTCCAGCCTGGCAACAGAGCAAGTCTTCGTCTCAAAAAAATAAAAAATAAAAGAAGAGGGCATTGTATTTCAGTGGTAGAATTATGAGTGCCTTTTATTTTCTTCTGTATATCTTTCTGTGTTTTCTAGTTTTTAATAATGAGCTTATATTACTTTTATATTTAGAAAAAAGCACAATTTAAAGCCAGGTGCAGTGGCTCACACCTGTAATCCCAGCACTTTGGGAGGCTGAGATAGGCAGATTGCTTGATCTCAGGAGTTCGAGACCAGCCTGGGCAACATGGTGAAACCCTGTCTCTAAAACCCTGTCTCTACCAAAAGTACAAGACTTAGCCAAAGGTGGTGGCTCATGCCTGTAGTCCCAGCTACCTGGGAGGCTGAGGTGGGAGGATTGCTTGAGCCTAGAAGGCAGAGGTTGCAATGAACTGAAATTGCAACACTGTACTCCAGCCTGAGCAGCAGAGAGAGACCCTGTCTAAAAAAAAAAAAAAAAAAAAGAAAGAAAGAAAGAAAAGAAAGAAAAAAGCACAATTAAAGATGATAAGGAAATTATTGAACAAAGACATAAGAGGACCACACCACTCTATTGAACTATCTAGTATAAGAGCAGTATAAATGTAACATACATAAAACTCAGGCTAAATTTCATGTTAGTGAAATTGGCTGAGGTGCCCCTCTTCTTGCTTTGTGTGTCTTTTCTCTTGCCTTCTCCATTCTCACTCCAGCCTGTCTTTCACACCTTAGGTACTGACTTCTGTCATATAAGGGCCACCTTCTTTCTCAGAGAAACACATTCTCTCTAAAGTGTAGGTAACTGAGGGGAATGGGAGTGGTGTATGCATTTTAAGAGTTGATCTCTGGAAGAGTTTTATCTTAATAATTTAATCCCATTGTCTGGAGCCACCATTTCTAGATATGAAGTTTAATCACATTTATATTACCTTTTAAGATTTACTTTAGGAATATTAACTTAGTAAAATTTTCATTGACATATTATAAGCAAAGGTTTTTTGAGAGGGAAATAAGGAATAGGGAGTCTCTGCAGGGAAATTGGGGAGATGTATTAATGGCAATGCTTCCATGACTCTCATAAATGCATTTTAAGCCTGTTACATGATTGGACAGAGGCAAAGAAAATGATTCTGTGGGTTTTATTTCTTGGTAATATAGTAATAAACAAATTTTCAAATTAATAAATTTTAGAGTAGTTTTTGCTTGGAACAGAGATACCAGGATAAATATTATTAAAATTTTTTTCAGTAGCTTTTGGGGTACAAGTGGTTTTTGGTTATAGGATAAGTATTATTGACCTCCATAAATAATAGTAGCTCACCATGTTAATACTTGCTACTTGCTATAGTTCTATCATTTTATCTGTGAAGTTAAAAATATATACATTTTGGGCACCAAGATGATAACATTCCTAACACATTTCATATATAAAATTAGGTTATTTCTGTTTTAGGCTGCACCCTTCTAATGTAAGAGAAAGCACGGAGCTAAGATATACATAGTCACACTTTCATTTTTGTTTATTCAGGAAGGTCCCTGACCAGACATGGGTTCAGTGTGATGAGTGTCTTAAATGGAGGAAGCTTCCTGGCAAGATTGATCCATCCATGTTACCTGCAAGATGGTTTTGTTATTATAATTCTCATCCAAAGTACAGGTAAGGTTCGAGGACTCAATCTTATGCTCAAAGTAACTCCTGATGTACCTCTATAGTCTAAAACATTTTTCATGTCAGGTTCACACCACCCTTTAGCCTGGGACTCAAGGCCTTGTGCCACCTGACCCTACCTTACCTATCTAGCCTTGCATTTCATTGTATTTTAACACACGCTCCATACTTGAGCCAGGCCTGTGGCTTCACTATTCCCTACACATGAAATTCTTACTCTCACTTCCGTGACTTTGATAGTGTCATTCTTCTTGCTTGCAGTGGCTGCATTCCATCTGTCTGTCCTAATCACATCCATCTGGGAAGCAAGTCTTTTGTGTGATGCTTTTCCTGTTGACCATAGTTTACAGTGATTTTACTCTGACTTCCTCTGGTATTTGATTGTTGACATTTGTTCACATATTGTTTTGTACTTTTTGGATGTTTTTTATGTATGTATGTTTTGGCTCTTGAAGAGATTGTACACTCTTCGAGAACAAGGGCTTACATTCCAGGTCAAGTTGATGATTTTCTTTATACGCTTCATATTCGGAATCAATGTTATACAGTAGTACCTGTACCTATTGTATATTCAGCGCTGTTTGTGTGTTTGTCTTCCTAATATACCATATGTTCCTTGCAGCATCCAACATCTGCGTAGTGTCTGGCATATCTGTGAGCATTAACTTCAATTTAAAAGTTTTTAAAAATTTGACTCAGTAGTTAAATAGGTTCGTAATAATAAGTCATTGTGCTTCAATTCAGCTGTGACTTTCTGAAAGTCCATTTTGCAGGATAAATACTGATGACTGATAGAAAGAAAAGTGCTAAAATAGGTAAAAATGTCTGAAATTGAAGAAGTTAAATGAACAAAGATTAGGTCTATAAATATAAGCATTTCCTCAGTCTCTAGATATGCCTAAGTATCTTTCCATGGAGAGTAAATGAGATTGTGTAATTAGAATATGGAGCTGAGTACTTAGAAGTCTCGTATTTGAATACTTTATCTTTTAGTACAGGATACATAATCTTCCAGGCCACTTTACCCCTTTATAAACTGGGTATAATATAGTTGCCAATTACTGTTAAGTTTTATTTATTTGTTTCTAGGATTACTTTTGACAACTGAATGCATTTTCTAGTACTCCTTTCAGTTTTTAATCTTAAAGTTCTCTTTCTCATGCCTTAAATATAACAAGGTTTTATAATTTGAATGGGGTCTGAACTTTATAATGTTAGAGGGTTGTTAACCTGCATAGTTGTAAGGAAAGTAAAAGGTAAAAGTGAAGGACACATTTTGCTTCCAAAGGATGATTTCTTCTCTATACTGCAGGAGGTGCTCTGTTCCAGAGGAACAAGAACTCAATGATGAAGACCTGTACTTGAGCAAAGCTAAGAAACAGTTGAGTATACATGATATGGTGTTCTCTATCTTAGGGTAGAGGAGCCTGACACTTCCTAATAGGACACGGGAGTTTTGAGAAGACAGAAATTTTTTTGGGTCTTAAAAAATAATTTCCCTCCTCACCTCACTGCTCTCTCAGTTCTTTATTCCTCCTAACCATCTCTTGAATGTCTCAACTAGTGATTGTCTTTAGTCTCTCTCTCTCTCTCTCTCTCTCTCTCTCTCTCTCTCTCTCTCTCTCTCTCTCTCGGCACTTGAAATCTCACTTCAGTAGCTTAGTTCAGAAAGGCACCCTCAGTTACTCAATGAGACTCACACTATTTGTAATTTGGAAGGAACATTATAACCTAAATCTACAATTAACAGTCCATTTCAAACTGAGAAGTTTCATGAGTAAACTAAATAGCACTTTTGTCTTCTCCTAGAGAGCAAACTGTTGAGAAGAAGAAGATGCCTGTAGAAAATGAGAACCACCAGGTGAGCGGCAGTGCACACCCTTACCTTTCTCACATGACATTTTCCCCAACAGAGGCTATAAGTTAAAGGAAGCAGCAATCTCGAAAGCTGCATAGAAATAAACCATTTCTTTTAGTGGTCTTCTTTTCATTGGATCTTTTGGTTTTGCTTTGCTCTGCTGTCACTGATGTTTAGATCACCAAAAATAGAAGAGTCAAATCATTTATTTGCCAAATTTGGATTCAGTACTGACTCTGGACAGTGTGAATGTCACATTTAGTGTCACAGAATATTCAGCGTTGTGTTCCATCCTCATACAGGCTTCTCCTGTTAAATGTCTGGTTTTCCTGTCTCTTTTCTTCCAGGATTCAGGGGTGATTGCTTCCTCCTTCCTCTTGGGAAGAAAGGGTGGTTCTTTGTACTCCTTCCTGATCCCTGCTTTCAGGCTGGCTGGCTTTATAAAGACTCTGCTGTTTTGAATTTTCAGGAGCACTGTCTCTCGGACATGGTTGCCCAGCTCCGGACGCTGAAGGGTGCAATAAGGTTGGCCGTCCTTTCAGGGACACTCCTTTCCTGACAGCCACCATAGCACCCATATATCTTCCCCTCCCAACCTTGCCTTTCTGCATGATTTCCCTCTTGACCCTCTTTCCCAGAGAGATCTGCTAGTCGCATGTTAGATTCACCTTCCAACCACTCAATCAGGGTAGGTCAGACTGGTGAGGATAGAGGCAATTTAATACTAATTCTTCTTCTGATATCCTGCCAAGACCCAGGCATATGAATAATCAGGTTTCATACCCTAATGTCTTGGTTTAATAGTCTGATGTAGAGACTGGGAGATTTCCTAGGACTGCCCTGTTCTCATTCAGTTTACCTCCCCTATATATTCCCTCACCGTAATCATTCATACTATTTTCATGAGCTGGCTCTCCCACAAGATCCAGATGCATGTCCATGTGTATGTACTGTGAATATATGTTAGTCTGTCGCATGCATTTCTCCCAAACTGGCACAGACACTTGCTGCAGTGCATTTTCCCACCATCCCTACCCTCATCACACATCTCAGAGGAGTGAAAACTCAGCCTTAAACTGAGTCACAAAAGAGAATTAGACAATGATTAGGGGGTCTGGGTTTATGTTGGGGGTGGGATAATTCTAGGAGCCAATAAGTAAGTTGGGGGAGGTCTGTTTGGTGTCCAGCTGATGAGGTTGATAACTGAATATGCCTAGTGTACATTATGGTGCACTGTTTGTTTTGTGTAGAAAACGGTTTCTTTTTTTTTGGCCAAGCATTCTTTCCTAGCATCAAAAGGATTGACTCATCCTTTGGCATTTGGTTTGAATTTGGTATTTTTACAAATCATTTCTTTCTTTTCTAGGTATGTAGTAATCCACCAAAGAACCTTACTGTTCAAGAAATGGCTGGATTGAATAACAAGACCACTGGATATGAGGGAATTCATAGCCCTAGTGTGCTTCCATCTGGTGGAGAAGAAAGCAGATCACCTTCTCTTCAACTTAAGCCTCTGGATTCCAGTGTTCTTCAGTATTCCAGGTAACTAAAAAGCCTGATTTCTTGTCAATAATAAGGCTTAGGGTCTGTTTTCCTCTAGAGTAAGTTGGTATGTTTTACCCTGTTTCTGTTTTTTCTAAGGCGTAGCATGGAATTCAGAAGTAGAAACACAATTTTCAGTTGATATTATAGTATGTTGCTTGTATCTCCAGTTTTTCAGTATTATAACTGCTGTGTCAGGTATATAATTTTGAGGTGATCATTTGCTGATACTCATTTTGTGTACCATGTATTCACATTATATTGGGAATTCTGTAAGCGTAATAATAGACAATATTTGAAACGTATAAAATACTATACAAATAAGGTAATGTTATATCAATAAGCATTGCTCCTTTTCTTCAGTGTATGGATATTGAAGTTTTCTGGGGCCTCATAGGCCTAGCATATGTTGGCCACATATAAAAATAACTATTAGATATTTGTGCCATTAGGTAAGCCTTATCATTTGTTGTTTCCTAGAATAAATTACTTTAAGTTTAGTCTTGGACTTTCCTTGTTCACCTTCTAGCACCTCATCAGTGTTATTTTGTGTTTTCCTAACAAGGAGTATAACTTCTTTTTCTTACATATCAGGAGTATCTGAAGCACTGAAGGATATGACTGGGACTGAATTCAGTACTCCTAATTATGACTCCTTGCTTTCTCCTCTTTATTCTGCTTCTCACTTTTGCAGGATCAAGCCATATAGGGCAGTCACAGAGTTGCTCTCTAATAGTAGAAATGTCTGTGTTCATCAGTAATGTGACTATAATATGGTGGGATGTGAACGTTTTAGTGACTATTTTCAGTTTGGTTGTCTTCTTAACATATTGTAGAACAGTCAGTGGAATACATAATAGGATAAAGTGACTCCTGGTTTGTTGGTTTTTCTCTGTGTTTCTGAGTTCAAAACCAGCCTGAACAATATAGCGAAATCTCGTCTCTTAAAACAACAACAACAAGCCAGAACAATGCCTTGGAATATAGTAGATACTGATTAAGTAATGGTTGAATCCGAGTCATATTTAAGAAGCAATTTCCAAGATTGAATTTTGTAGCAGTGGGATAAGAAATAGATTCCAGCCTTAGTTTCTGTAGTTTGAACCTAATTATACTGTTTCCATGTATACTTTTCCAACTCCCAATTTAGATTGGGAGGAGCGCACTGTAAATGCTAAGTGTTTTTGAAGCACATTATTACCTTTCTACCCTGGTCTTCTGGAGATGTTCATATATCACCATTGCTGCTGCAGTGTCAGGTGTCTTTGCTTTTGAAGACTATTTTTTCTTTACTATGACCACTTTTCCTTTTTAATTTCAGTGTTTCTTTTGTAACTCTGTAGTGTTTTGATAACCTCAAGGGGATTACAAATGCTAATTTATAGTTATTTTATGAATGCAGTACAATAGAACTTCCATTGGGTGGCATACTTCATCAATCTTTATTGGAATTTTTTAATGAGTCTTTATGGATTGCTACATCGCGAGTGAGGTTTTGGCTGTAGAGGATAGGTAAAGTGCTTTGACTATTCATGTGTAATTTTAACTTAATGAGAATGAAATTCTTTCAAGAGAAAGAGATACATAAGAGGTATGTGATAGTTGCTGTTGCTAATGTCTTATGTGTTACATTAGTTCAGCAAATGATGATTGTGCCATTTCAAGCTACAATTTTAGGGAGAGTCACACTGATTGATTGGGCTGAGACTATCTTTTTATGGGGGAAAATGGAGGTACTCAAGAGTCTATAAAATATACAGGATTATGATAAAACATTAAAGTTTAATCAAGGTTACAAAGGTTTTCTGCTATTATCAACATAGGAAGCTGATAAGCATCCTTGGGTCATGTAGTTCAGCTTACTAACTCTAGATAGAATAAAGCATATGCTATCCAAGAAAACTTTTAAGTTCTAGTGGTGTAGATTAGCAGGGGCTCCACAAGTGACTCTGGAAACAGCTTTGTGAATCCCACAAATCTAGCAAGGGGAGGAGAGGACCTGCAATAAGGATAGGTTTCACCAGTATGTAAGCAGGTATACCTTTTTAGGGGAAGACAGCTTATTTCTGTTAAAGGAAATAACCCCTTTCTATTTGTTTATTCTACATGTATAGTCATGTGCCACATAATATCTTGGTCAATAACAGACCACATATACAACAATGGTCCCATTAACTTATAATGCTATATTGTTACTGTCTCTTTTGTATATTTAGATATATTTGATATGCAAATACTTACAGATTTGTAACCTACGAGCAATAGGCTACATGCCACATAGCTTAGGTGTGTAGTAGGCTATACCATCTGGGTTTTTTCAAGGACATTCTATGTTGTTTGTACAATGAAGAAATCAACTAACAATGCATTTCTCAGAATGTATGCCCATCATTAAGTAATGCATGACTGTCTTTGAGTGCCTACTGTATGAAAGGCTCTGTTCTAGGGTACTGATAAGATCAAAGATGAAGGAAGTTTGCGTAGTCAAAGTTTGTTATGTAAGTATCCCCAATACTTACATATAAAATACATATAAGTTTTCTTATGAGCGATACGAAATAAGATTTAAAGTGGCTGGGTGCGGTGGCTTACACCTCTTATCCCAGCACTTTGGCAGGCCGAGGAGGAGAATTGCTTGAGCCCAGGAGTTTGAGACAAGCCTGGGCAACGTAGTGAGACCTCATCTATACAAATAATAAGAAAAAAATAGTCGGGTGTGATGACATATGCCTGTGGTCCCAGGTACCCAAGAGACTGAGGTGGGAGGATCACTTGAACCTAGGCTGCAGTGAGCCAGCTGTGATCATGCCACCGTACTCCAGTTTGGGTAACAAAGCAAGACCCTGTCTCAAAGAAAAAGAAAGATCTAAAGTAACCATAAGCATCTGAATGAAGGCAAGAATTAGTGGCTGTAATTTATTTACATATTTAGATTTGAGTAAGCTATATGTCAAAGGCTAATTAGTTCATATTTTAAAAGGATAACAAGAAATTCTGGATTGCACTGTAATGGTGGAGGGAGAGGAGTAGACAAATTCTAATGTGTCTAAAGGAATACTTGAAATAACAAGCAAGGGGTAGAAATAGAACAATTTTGCAAATGAATAAGATTGATTCAGGGGCTAGTATTAACCTTTAAAAATATTATCTGGGGAAGCAAGTTCGAGAATGGAGAAATGAGGAGCACAGTGGACTCTCTCACCAAGAAATAACTGTTTAACTTGAAAAAAATATTTAAAAAAATCCAAGTTTCTGGATATTGTCCTAGGGGCACACAGCAAAGGGAGAAATATTCAAGAAATCTAGTAAATCTTAGGAAGAACAGCAAGAGTCAGTGGCATTTGAACCACAATCTATCCCACTTCAAGCTCTGTTTTATGAAAACTACTCAAGGGAATTCTAATTCACGTGGCTGTGATCTAGAAGATGGGGGCTCCCTCTTCCTCTGGCTCCTTGTCTAGAGCTATGGTTTTACCTGGGAGGGGCAGGCCTTTGGCTTTTCTCATATCCTCTCCAGTTCTGTTTTGTAGAAGCTCTGTTCCAGGCAGACCCATGAAGATTGGGTTTCTCTTCTCCCAGCCTTTTCTTATCCCACAACGTTCTCACTTATAGGGTGGAAGCACTCACCAAGGAAGAGCAAGTTAATAATACTATGCCTCTATTGTTCCTACCCAAGTTTGCTCATAGGTCAGAAGTCTATACTGGAAGAAGTGAGCCAAAAATTACCCCAGCACCCATTCATAAAGAAGGGATTTTACTCTGGGAGAAGTATGTTACTGTCTTTGTCTCTTGTTCTTGCACATTGTTCCAGAGATTCTGTTTAAAGAGAAAGGCAGACCTTAAGGATGAAGAACTCCACAGCTATACCTAAAGGAGCTGACTTTATGTGGAACAGAACACAAAGAACTCTGTGACTAAGGGGCATTGTCAAAAATAATGGAGATCTTGGTGGAGACCAATTATGAGGGCAATTATAACTTCATGACAAGTTTCGGTAGGCAAAATGTGCAAGCAGTCATAAGTTTGGTAACAGAGAGAATCAGGGAAATACAGTTAAGAGCCCTCTTGGGATCATAGTCAGTCCTGGGTGTCAGAAAGGCTGTATATAAGCACAGGGCGACACCCACTCAGAAGCAATCAGAGCAGGACCTAAGGTGAACTTGAAAGCAGTCCTCAAGCCAAACACAGATGAAACAGCAAAGAAGAGGGGCCTTACTTGCACTAGAGGTCTAAACACAACCTCTAACTAACTACTGGCTGAACAATGTTACTCTGACCCAGGGGCACTACTTGGGAACCAGGCTTAAAAATGAAATCACGTACATCCCTAGCAATTTGGGAGACTAGGTACATGCTCAAGTCTATGGTGCCTCTGGGGTGATTGAAGAGGGAAAATCTAAGCTATTAGTACTTGGCTGAATGTGAGGCAGCAGCGTGTACTTCTTGAACTTTGGTAGTAACCTCCGAGTCTCACACAGATCCAGTGGAAAAGAGTAAAAATCTCACTGCCTGAAGGGACTTAAGCATAACCTTTATCTAATAAGTGGCCTGTGCTAAACCAGGTATGAACCCTAGGTTGTAGGTGAAAGATTAAAATCAAGAAAAAAATCTGAACAAGTACATCAGAGGCTGCATGCTACAGGGGAAATGGACTGCATGGAGTCACTTCAGCCGAGTCATTAAATAAATAACCAAGCAAACAACACCACCAGTGTCATAGGGAAGGGGAGCTCAGTGTCCAGAATTGCTATACTATATTATTTAAAATGTCCAGTGGTCAACAAAAATTGTGAAACATGCAGAGAAACAGGCAAGTGTAACCTCTACAAGGAGCAGGGGTTAGAGAGGAACAGCAATAGAAACTGCTCTTGAAGAGATACAGATGTTGGATTTATCAGACAAATACATCAATACAGTTGTTATAAATATGTTCAAAGAATTAAAGGAGACCATGTCTAAAGAATTAAAGAAAGTAGAGAATATCAATAAAGGGACAGAAC